GATTACATAGCACTGAAGCAGAGAATTATGATAATTATGATGTTTGTTTATAGCCTGCCTTTTCTCGCTATGGAGAAGACTCAAAGAGACTGAAAGAGAAGGTTGAGGACCTTGGGAAACTACAACTCCCAGGATTCCATAGTGCTGAAGCAGAGAATTATGATAATTATGATGTTTGTTTATAGCCTACCTTTTCTCTCTACAAAGGAGACTCAAAGCGAATGCTGAGGATCTCGGGAAACTACAACTCCCAGGATTCCATAGCATTGAACCATGCCAATCAAGTGTTGTCAAACCTCATTCATTCTATAGTATCGATGTATCCTTAATCTAGGTTAACGTGATGTATTCCACGTGGGTCCCGGAACAAGACTATCTCACATTCATGTCAACACATCATCAACACATCATAGAGAGTGTATATAAAACTCTGTGTGTCCCATAGCTGTGAAGTTATGACTGCTCATATGACAGCAGTTTTGTCATCCTATCATCAACTGTGTGACAAAATACACTTCCGCTTGCTTCCCACTCCTATAGAGGAGCGAGACTGGTAATTTCCCCTATTTTCAAGAGCAGATGCCTTCTGATCCATGGAACAATATAACCATCATAGTACTAGAAAGATGGAAGGAACTCCAAGGGCCATCCAGTCCAACCCTGTTCTGCCATGCAGAAATTTATTATTTATTTATTTTATTCACATCACTTATATCCCGCCCATATCAGCCCGCAGGCGACTCAGGGTGGTCTACATATTGGGACAATTCGATGCCATCAATACAATACAACAGCAAAAACAATTAAGTGCATTTAGACAAAAAAGACAGTGCAATAACAATTTTAAAAGAGCTATATCCATTCCAATCCTCATCCGTTTCATTGTCTTGGCCGTTCCTGGGTCATTCTCCATCTCAAGCTTGACTATCTATTCTGGGGTTCCGAATGCTTGCTCGAAGAGCCAGGTTTTTACTCTCTTCTGAAAAGTCAGGAGGGAGGGGACTGATCTAATATCCCTAGACAGGGAGTTCCACAGCCGAGGGGCCACCACAGACACAATCTAAGCCCTTGCGACAGATGTCCATCTTCAACCTCTGCTGAAAGATCACCATCACCATGCATTCCTCTAGGGGCCAGACAAAAATGTGATTTCAAAAGATCAGGACAATAACTCTGGCCAGGCTTGAGAGCCTAAAGCTATCACTTGGTCACTTGGCAAACACCAGCCATTCTTAATCCAGTCACCGAGACATTTCTTCATTGTTTACTTGTTGCCCGCCTCCCTTGCACCTCATTGGCTGAGTGGCCAAAGCAGGGCCAGAGCCCTCATTGGTTCTCCTCCTGGCTTGCTGACATCACAGCCAATCACAACGAAGCTGGCTCAGGTGGGTGGGAATGGAAACTTTTGAATTTGAAAGCTATATATTCTGTATTTACCTGCCTAGCAGATGTCGATTTGTTGGCATATTACTGCAATCATTATCCTTTCCAGCTAGAATGAAATAAAACCTCTGTGGCCTTTTCTTCAACTTGGTGCAATTTATTCTGGAATACAAGCTTCTTTTTCTCATCAGGCTAAACCCACAGTGACTCGGATCTCACTGTCCACAGCCATTCTAAATTGCTCGAAAACATTTCCATCTTTCATGAAATAAACCAGACATGGAATAGACCAGGCCTGGGCAAACTTTGACCCTCCAGGTGTTTTGGACTTCAACTCTCGCCATTCCTAACAGCCTCAGGCCCTTAAGCTTAAGCGGCTCAAGGGGGAAAAGGAAGGGGTCTGAGGCTGTAAGGAATGGTGGGAGTTGAAGTCCAAAATACTTAGAGAGCCAAAGATTGTCCATGCCTGAAATAAACAAGTTGGAAAGGACTCCAAAGGCCATCTAGTCCAACTTTATTCAGCCATGCAGAAAGTCACAATGGCAGCACTTTGGAGAGATAGCCATCCAGCTTCTGTCTAAAAGACCACAGAGAAGGAGACTCTACTTCCTTCTAAGAAAGTCCATTAGCTCTTACAATCAAAATGTTCTTCCCTTCTGTTTAGGTGGAATATCTTGTAGTTCGGATCCATTGCTCCAGCGTGTCCCGGTCTCTAGAGCAGCAGCAAACAAGCTCTTTCCATCTTCTACATGAAAGGAAGGCTTTGAAATATTTAAAGGTAGATCCATGTTTCTTCTTTTCTTCTCCAAGCTGAACACAGCCATCTCCTTAAATTGTTCCTGAAGAGATGAAAAGCTTAAAAACATGTGATATTGGTCTCAGGATGTGATCTGGATGGGTTTATATTGCATTTGTAAGTCAACTCCCGTGTATAAAACTATCCCTGACTTTTGAGAAGATTTTCTTGGGTTAAAAAGTAGTCTTATACGCCAGAATATACGGTAAGCGTCTTTTGATTTCCTGGCTGCAATCTGCAGTCTGCATCTGCAGTAATTTTGCGCCTAGAAATACAAAGTCTGTCACTGCCTCCACGTTTCCTCCCTCTCTTTGCCAGTTATCAATCAGTCCGGTTGCCAGAATCTTAGTTTTTTATGTTTAACGGTAACCCAGCTTTTGCGCTTTCTTCTTTCACCTTGATTAGAAGGCTCCTCAGCTCCTCCTTGCTTTTGGCCATCAAAGTGGTATCATCTGCATATCTAAGGTTCATGTTTCTTCCAGCAATTTTCACCCCAGCTTTGCATTCGTCAAGCCCCACACATCGTATGATGTGTTCTACATACAAGTTGAATAGGTTGGGGAAGAGTATACAACCCTGCCGTACATCTTTCCCAGTCTTGAACCAGTCTGTTGTTCCAGTGTCAGTTCTGACTGTTGCTACTTGGCCCTTACACAGATTCCTCAGGAGAGAGATAAGGTGATTTGGTATCCCCAGACCACCAAGAACTTGCCACAATTTATTATGATCCACACAGTCAAAGGCTTTAGAATTGTCAATAAAACAAAAAGAGATGTTTTTCTGAAATTCCCTGTTGTTCTCCATTATCCAACGGATGTTGGCAATTTGGTCTCTTGTTCTCTCTATCTCATTCCAGATAGAGAGGGACTACATTTGCCCTCTTCCAATCTGCTGAAAGATGCCATCTTTCCCCCCATATTTTGGGACACATATTCACCCTGAGTACTTTGAGCAAGGCAAATATTTATATTTCTGTTTTCCAAAAATGCTCTCTTTGTCACATTCAATCCAGGAGCGGCTTCTAACCCTCCTGCTCTCTGTCAAGTTGCCACCTGGGCTGTTCCTCTCCTTCTTGTCACATCACTGCTTTTGGGGGACCCCCCTTTTCCTTGCTATCAGCTTTGCTTAAAGTGATCGCAATAAAGGACATAATATGCTCAGGTGACAAATCTGTTTTCCTACCTTCTTTTGGAAATGTTTTTTAGGGAATGCTCCTTTTGGGATCGGGAAGCGTGAGCCGTGCATTTTAAAAGTCCTGCCTCAAGCTAACTCTGTACTTTGAAGGACAACAGCAATTCTCTCTCTCTCTCTCTCTCTCTGACAAAATCAGTTGAATTGGCAACAAGTGGAAAGAGATCCCTCCTTACTTAGAAAGCAAACATTAGCCAAAGTTCGGGAAACCAAGAAAGAAACATATATTTACCGGCTGGCATCCTATCACCCTCTTAGATCTTCCCTCCATCCTGTTATCTTCTCAGATTCATCTGGAAGAGTTTCTTGGTGCCCTTTCACACAGCCATATAACCCAGAATATCAAGGCAGATAACCCACAATATTTGCTTTGAACTGGGTTTTCTGAGTCCACACTACCATATAACCCAGTTCAATGTGGATCTTATAGCTGGACATTGGGACTCAATCACTAGACTATATTCATGGCAGAATGGGCTTGGACTGGATGGCTTTTGGGGGTCCCTTCCATCACCAAAATTCATAGCCTCTTATAGATCTTGGGGTTCCCTTCCATTGCTAAGATTTGTAGAATGGACTTTCAAGGCCATGTAGTGCAACCTTCAGTCATGCAGGGAGACACAACTAAATAATTCCTGAAAGAGGTCCACTCAACTTCTGTTGAAAGGCCTCCAAAGATGCAGAGCTGACCTGTCTCCAAGGAAGTATAAATATGTGAGAGGAAGTCACAGGGAGGAGGGAGCAAGCCCTATAAGGAGTGGCTTAAGGAGCTGGGCATGTTTAGCCTGAAGAAGAGAAGGCTGAGAGTGGATATGATAGCCATGTATAAATACGTGAGAGGAAGCCACAGGGAGGAGGGAGCAAGCTTGTTTTCTGCTTCCCTGGAGACTAGGACACGAAACAATGGCTTCAAACTACAAGAGAGGAGATTCCATCTGAACATAAGGAAGAACTTCCTGACTGTGAGAGCCATTCAGCAGTGGAACTCTCTGCCCCGGAGTGTGGTGGAGGCTCTTTCTTTGGAAGCTTTTAAACAGAGGCTGGATGGCATCTGTCAGGGGTGATTTGAATGCAATATTCCTGCTTCTTGGCAGAATGGGGTTGGACTGGATGGCCCACGAGGTGTCTTCCAACCTTTTGATTCTATGACTCTAAGTCCATTTCATCATTCAGCAGCTCTTACTGTATTCAATCTGCAGGAAATGAGATTCTATCTAAACATCTGGAAGAACTTCCTGATGGTAAGAGATGTCTGGCAGTGGAATATCATGCCTTGGAGTATGGTAGAGTCTCCTTCTCTGGGGGTTTTTAATCAGAAGCTGGATAGCCATCTGTCCGGTGGGCTTGTATTGTGGATTCCTCCATGGAAGAAGAGAACTGGACTGGAGGTTTCATTCGATTTTAGGAGTCTATGAACTTCCAAGACATAAACATTCAAGATGGAATGGATGGAAGTGGAGCCTCCTTCTCTGGGAGGGTCTTTAAGCAGAAGCTGGATGGTCATCTGTCAGGAGGGATTGCATTGTGCAGACAGCTCAGAAAACTCACAGCAACCCAAACACCCAAACATAATAAACATAATAAACATAATAATAATAATAATAATAATAATAATAATAATAATAATAACCTGAGTAGAGAAGATGCCATGGCTGATGCCAGTATTGTGTGTGCCGGTTCCGATGACCCCGGCAGCCGCCACATCCGAAACAGCTCCTAGGCTGAACCCAGTAAAACAGATGCTGATCAATAAGGGTTTCTACAGTATTATGCTGGAGATGACTGTGAAATTAATGGATGAGACAGTCAGATAAAATAAAAGGTAACTTAATTCTGGGCACCACAATTGAAGAGAGATATTGACAAGCTGGAATGTGTCCAGAAGAGGGTGACTAAAAAGATCAAGGATCTGGAGAACAAGCCCCATGAGGAGCGGCTTAAGGAGCTGGGCATGTTTAGCCTGAAAAATAGAAAGCTGAGAGGAGATATGATAGCCATGTATAAATATGTGATAGGAAGCCACAGGGAGGAGGGAGCAAGCTTGTTTTCTGCTTCCTTGGAGACTAGGACGCGGAACAATGGCTTCAAACTACAAGAAAGGAGATTCCATCTGAACATGAGGAGGAACTTCCTGACTGTGAGAGCTATTCAGCAGTGGAACTCTCTGCCTCGGAGTGTGGTGGAGGCTCCTTCTTGGGGAGCTTTTAAACAGAGGCTGGATGGCCATCTCTCAGGGGTGATTTGAATGCAATATTCCTGCTTCTTGGCAGAATGGGGTTGGACTGGATGGCCCATGAGGTCTCTTCCAACTCTGGGATTCTAGGATTCTATGATTCTAATGCCCACCTGCCTTTGTAGCTAGAATGTGTCTTCAAAAGAAAAGCCAAAATAATATTGCTGAGGGACGAGCACAGAAGGAGGATACTTTGATATTCTACCACAAAGGGGTTGGAAGGGACTCCCAAAGGCCAACCAGTCTGACCTTCTTTTGCCACAAGGAAAGACATAATTGTGGGAGTTGACGTCCAAAATGCCTGGAGGGCCCAAGTTGGCCCATGCCTGGCCCAGACCCATATCTCTCCCCGTTGGCTCTCCTCCCCTGGATAGTCTCTTATGGGATTCTAAAATGCAGATTGAATCCTTCACCTGGATTGCACTCTTTTTTTTCCATCTGTTTTTAAAGAATCAGATGCAAATTCCTCGAAGGGCCTGACATGGAGGCAAAAAGGAGATCTTTAATCACAGAAAGACTTAATAAGATTGACTTTTGGCTCAGAATTTTATTTATTTATTTACTTACTTATTTATTTATTTGGGTTCAGGCTGAGGTTATCTTAAAACAATTACAAGCCGCCGAACAAGCACCAGAACTGCCTTTTCAATGGGCTGAAATTGGGGAAAAGGAATACTATGGAGTCCAGTGGAGCCTCTTTCTCTGGAGGTGTTTAAACAGAGACTGGATGGGCATCTGTTGGGAGGGCTTTGATTGTGTCCTCCCTTGTGGCAAAAGGAGGTTGGACTAGATGGCCTTTGGAGATCCCTCCTATCTCTGGTGCTATATAGACTTCTTGTGAGTTTAGTGGCATCTCCTTCTCTGGATCTTTTAAAATGGAGCTGGGATGGCCATTTGTCAGGAAGGTTTTGGATTGTGGATAGGGATGGCAGAAGGGGATGGACTAGATGGCCTTGGATACCTTCTAACTCTTGTGCTATATATACTTCTTGGGAGTCCAGTGGCATCTCCTGCTATGGAGGTTTTAAAAGGCGTTGGGAGTTCGTTAGGGCTTGGATTCTGGATAGGAATGGCAGAAGTAGGATGGACTAGATGGCCTTTGGGGATCATTTCTATCTCTGGTGATATATAGACTTCTTAGGAGTCCAGTGGCATCGCCTGCTATGTAGGTTTTTAAAGAGTTTGGAGATCAGGAGGGCTTGGGTTCTGGATAGGAAGTGCAGAAAGGGGGTGGACTAGATGCCCTTTGGGGACCATTCTAAGTCTTCTACTATAGCATCTCCATTTCTGAAGGTTTTGAAACAGAATCTGGATGGACATCTGTTAGGAGTTGAAGTCCAAAACACCTGGAGGGCCCAAGTTGGCCCATGCCTGTTGTAGATGCATCCTCCGAACTTGACTATGTCCAGAGATCTTGCATTTCACTTACATGGGCAATGCCAAGCCATGGCTACTCAGCTCCATGTTCAGATCCGAGAGCAGGATCCCCGCCTCCACCGTCACCTGCTTCTTCTCCTTGTCCACCTGGAAGAGATGGAAAGCAGCTTAGGGCCCTTCCACACAGCCCTATATGTGCTGTCACGCGCTGGACCTATGACAATGTCTGTTTACAGGACGTGCTTTCTGTATGCCCAACGGGACGCCGGGGGTGCCTCAGCTAAAGGGTCCCATAGGTTTCCCAACACAAAGTTCTGTAGAGGCTCAAAATAGGTTCAACAAAGTTCTTTATTAAGGCTTGAATCTTTGAACAAATGAATTAAATGCTTTATAATCTTGAAAAACTAGTAACTTTCTCTATCTGCCAACAAGGGACAGGCAACTGCTTCATAAACTGTTCCTTTCCTCTTTAGGGAAACCTTCCGACTCCTCTTTGGGCAATCTTTCTTTACCCTACTGGCGTGAGGCCCCAACTCCCGTCTCCAAACTGCGTTATGGATAGCCCGAGTGGTCCCTTACCAGGCAATGGTTGCTATAGATCTGCCAAGCTGGTGTCCTTTAGTTTCTCCACGAAGGCTGTAGGAGCTATTTCTTTTGGCTGTATTCCTCCAGCAAAGGCTGTGGAACTGTAACTTTACTCCCCAGCAAAGCTGTAAAGGTTTTCCCTTTTCCCCAGCAAAAGCTGTAAAAAGTGAAGCTTTTTGCAGGTGGGACAGAGAAAAGCCCACACGTCCTGCTGTAAGGCTCCAAACTGTGAGACTGAACTACAAGTCCCCTTTTCCCTCCAAACCTGGGGAAAGGGGAGGATCTAAAGGCTCTAATGATGATTGATAAGTTGTTGGCCCTATGACTGCAACCAGGGGAAAGCTACCCAATTGCAAAATGCATGGCCCAAATAGATTCATGCAAACTAACAGTGCAAGAAAAAGTGCCAGCACACTATATCCCAGAATATCAAGGCAGGAAATCCCACATTATCTGAGTGTGGACTATGATAAACCAGTTCAAAGCAGGTATTGTGGGATTTTCTGTGTGGAAGGGCCCCTAAAGGGCCCTCAGGAAAAATTATAGCACGGATTGTTGCAAACCATCATCCTCACCTGCAAATAGTTTGCGATTCTTTACACAGGCAGTGTCCAGGTTATGAACAAGATAGGTTCAGTAGGTTTGCTCTTAAGTTGCGTTACTGTATATACTTGAGTATAAGCCTAGTTTTTCAGTCCTTTTTTATGCTGAAAATGTAATAATAATAATAATAATAATAATAATAATAATAATAATACTTTATTTATACCCCACCACCACCTCCCAAGGGACTCGGAGTGGCATACATGAGGCCAAGCCCAACAACACATCAATAAAAACAACAAGCAATAAGCGAAATAAACAATACAATTAATATAACTCACATATAGATAATAACACACAAGGATTTTGACACTCGAGTCAATGTTATTCATTATTTTACTTTGTTGTTGTTATTATTATTATTATTACATTTATTATTTTATTATTGTTGTTATTATTACATTTATTATTTTACTCTGTTATTGTTATTGTTACATTTATTATTTTACTCTATTATTACTGTTATTACATTCCATTATTTTACTCTATTATTATTATTATTATTATTATTATACTCTATTATTATTGGAGGACATGTAAGCATATTTACATTGAAGAAAGTTAGAATAATGGTTTGATCAGAGTTGGACAGTCTTATCTTGAATTTCTGCTTATGAGTTTATTTATTGTTTTGTATTACTGTTGGTATTGTTTATTGTTGTATTGTGGGCTCGGCCTCATGTAAGCCGCACAAAGTCCCTTGGGGAGATGGTAGCGGGGTACAAATAAAGTATTATTATTATTATTATTATTATTATTACAATTTTATGTAAATATTCAAAAACATTTAACCTACTGATGCCTAAATTAATATAATTTTATGGGTATCTATTTTTATTTTGAAAATTACCAGTAGCTGCTGCATCTCCCACCCTCGCCTTATATTCGAGTCAATCCATTTTCCCAGTTTTTTGTGGTAAAATTAGGTGCCTCGGCTTATATTCGGGTCGGCTTATACTCGAGTATATACGGTAGTTGGTAAGTCAGAACAGGTGCATTAAGTGCAACTCCAGCCACACACACACACACACACTAACATACACACATTTGTTTATTTCTTTCTTTATTTATAACAATTTTAACAGATTATAGAGATGGGCCAAAACTAACAAAATGAAGTTCAACAGTGACAAACGCAAGATACTCCACTTAGGCAGAAAAAACGAAATGCAATGATACAGAATGGGGGACAATGCCTGGCTCGAGAGCAGTACATGTGAAAAAGATCTTGGAGTCCTTGTGGACAACACGTTAAACATGAGCCATCAATGTGATGTGGCGGCAAAAAAAGCCAATGGGATTTTAGGCTGCATCAATCGGAGCCTAGTGTCTAGATCCAGGGAAGTCATGCTCCCCATGCTCTATTCTACCTTGATCAGACCACACCTGGAATCCCACTGTGTCCAATTCTGGGCACCACAATTGAAGAGAGATATTGACAAGCTGGAATGTGTCCAGATTCTCACTCTAAACTATGGTGCTTTGCACGCTCAAGACTCTTGCTCTTGGTACCTTGAGGACCTTGTTCATCCTTCCCAGGTGGACCATGAAGTCTTCTGTGCAGGCCACGTCTGAAGGAGAGTGTCCGCCTCCCACCACTTTCACCCTCTTGCTCCTCTGGCGGGCCAGAGCCAAGATCTGCAAATGCACGGATTTGGACAAAGCTGAGATCAGGGCGTGCAAAGGGCAAGCCAGGGTCTGCATACTTTCAGGGAATGTTTTTGGCACCCCTCGAACCCTTTCCCAAATACCCAATTTCAGGAGCAATCTGCATTGGGTAGGGACAATTCCAATCAACCCACTGTCGTCTCTCCTCCTTCCATATTCCTCCCTCTATCCTCAGATTGCAGTTGCATTGTTTTTGTAGCCCAGGCATGGGCAAACTTGGGTCCTCCAATAGGCTGTTAGGAATTGTGGGAGTTGAAGTCCAAAATACCTAGAGGGCCCAAGTTTGCCCATGCCTGCTGTAGCCTCGTATGGTTTGCGTTTTCCCCCTATTAATTACTTTTGCCATTAATTACTTTAGCTATGTTGTAATCTGCCTCGAGTAGAGAGGTGGGTAAAGGGGGAGAAGAAGGTGGAGGAGGAGGAGAAGGAGAAGAAGGAAGAGAAGGAGGAGGAGGAGGAAAAGAAGAAGGAGGAGGAGAAGGAGAAAATGGAAGAGGAGGAGGAGGAGGAAAAGAAGAAGAAGAAAAAGAAGAAGAAGGAGAAGAAGGAGAAGAAGGAGAAGGAAGAGGAGGAGGAGGAGGAGGAGGAGGAAGAAAAGGAAAAGGAGAAGAAGGAAGAGGAGGAGGAGGAGGACGAGGACGAGGAGGACAAGGAGGAGGAGGAGGAGAAGAAGAAGGAGAAGAAGGAGAAAGAGAAAGAGAAAAAGAAGGAGGAGGAGAAGGAGGAGGAGGAGAAGAAGGAAAAGGAGGAAGAGGAGGAGGAGGAGGAGGACGACGACGACGAGGAGGTGGAGGAAGAGGAGGAGAAGGAGAAGAAGGAGAAAGAGAAAAAGAAGGAGGAGGAGGAGAAGGAGGAGAAGGAAAAGAAGGAGAAGAAGTTGTTATACTTGCCCACCTTTGCACACCCGTGTATAACAAAAAAGAGCATACATTTGGAAACCAACCTCTTTGATCTCATCAACGGTAGTTGGCTGGAAATAAAACTCTGGGGAGCAGCCATAGGTCTTGGCCCAGTTCTGGAACCGGACTCCGCTTTGGCCGTGAACCTGGAGCAGGAAGAACACAAGAAAGGGAAATCACACAGGGATCTCATAGGAGCTGCTAATGTCTGGCTAACCCCTTCATTCTGGGAAGAAGAGGACACTTCGAGCTTCCCAACTTTGGACATTGCGTTTATGGCCAGATAAATGTGGATTTTGTATGCAGATATGATTTCTGGTGTAACCAAAGACCAGACAGGCACGAATTAATGGAAAGAAATATAATCATACAGTTGGAGTGAACTCCAAGGGCCATCCAGTCCACCCCTTTTGTCCTGCAGGAACACAGAACCCAAGCTTTCTTGACAGATGGCCATCTAGCTCCTGTTTAAAAAGCTCCAATGCTCCATTTACACTCCCATATAAAGTCCATAATTATCTGCTTAATAATAATAATAATAATAATAATAATAATAATAATAATAAATTTATACCCCACGCCATCTCCATGTATGGAGTCAGGGCAGCTTACAACCAACCAAACAAGTACAATAAATGATATAAAAAAGATAATCACATATTAGTTAATAAAGCAAGATAACATAACAATGCAATCTATATAAATAAAAATGTAATGTTCGTTTGTAGGATTAACATAACTCAAAAACCACTGGACGAATTGACACCTTATTTGGACACAATACATGTATCAGGCCAATGAGTGACCATTACTCATAAAAACACTGAAAAACACAGCAGAAGAGACTTAAAAAGCCAAAAAAACAAAAAATACATTACAATGCATGTGCAAAACCACATATATACACATATACCCAAATATATATTCACACATATATACATATCAAGCAAAAAGTGGGTGCTAGAAACAATATACGAAAGCTGACTGGCACAACCTGGGGATCACAACTAGACACAGTGAAGACATCTGCCCTTGCGCTATGCTACTCTGCTGCTGAGTATGCATGCCCAGTGTGGAACACATCTCACATACACTAAAACAGTGGATGTGGCTCTTAATGAGACATGCCGCATTATCACGGGGTGTCTGCGCCCTACACCACTGGAGAAATTACACTGCTTAGCCGGTATTGCACCACCTGACATCCGCCGGGAAGTAGCAGCCAATAGTGAAAGGACCAAGGCAGAGACATCTCCAGCTCATCCCCTGATTGGGTATCAGCCAGCATGTCAACGATTTAAATCAAGAAATAGTTTTCTAAGATCTACAGAGACACTCGCTGGAACACCTCAGCAAGCGAGAGTCCAAAAATGGCAGGCTTAACCCAGAACCTCAACCAATGGCTGATACCAAATGAGAGACTCCCTGGGCACACAGAGGACTGGGCGACTTGGAAGGCACTGAACAGACTGTGCTCTGGCACCATGAGATGCAGAGCCAATCTTAAGAAATGGGGCCACAAAGTGGAATCCTCGACATGCGAGTGCGGAGAAGAGCAAACCACTGACCACCTGCTGCAATGCACCCTGAGCCCCGCCACATGCATTATGGAGGACCTTCTTGCGGCAACACCAGAGGCACTCCAAGTGGCCAGATACTGGTCAAAGGACATCTAATCAGCTACCAAGTCTGCAAATTTTGTGGGGTTTTTTGTCTGTTTGTTTGCTTTGTTCTGTTAGAAATGTAATAACAATTGTCTGGTTGCCCTGACACGATAAATAAAAATAACTTCTGAGATATTCACATCTCAAACATCCATTACACTGGGTTACATGATTTTTGTTCCCGGGTTATAAATGTGGTTTTCTAATTGGTTATATAATAAAAACAAGGGAAAAGTTTATTAAACAGCAAAACTTTGTTTTTTGAGACAGCCTACAACACATTTTGCAAGAGTAAAGGTGTTCCTGTGACATTAAGTCTAGTCGTGTCCGACTCTGGGGGTCGGTGCTCATCTCCATTTCTAAGCCGAAGAGCCAGCATTGTCCGTAGGCACCTTCAAGGCCATGTAGCCAGCATGACTGCATGGAGCGCCGTTACCTTTCCGCCAGAGCAGTACCTATTTATCTAATCACATTTGCATGTTTTCAAACTGCTAGGTTGGCAGAAGCTGGGGCTAACAGTGGGAGCTCATGCCGCTCCCTGGATTTGAACCTGTAACCTTTTGATCAGCAAGTCCAGCAGTTCAGCGCTTTAACCCACTTTAACTCAATAGTTTTGCATCAAGTCTCAACCAAATCAACCTAGTTTGTGGAAGCCTCCAAAACAAAGTTTCTGGAGTAGACCAATTACTTTCAAAGTATGCACCACACAATTAAACAGGAATAAAACGTTCAAACCAGGAACAGAACATTTTTCAATTTTTATTACATAGCGTTATGCTGGCAATTTTTATATTTTGCATTATGATGATATGATACCTATAACACCAAACTCCAAGATAATTATTCACATCTCAGAAAGCCGTTACGGTATATTGCAGAGTTTCTTGCTAATGTTTAAGAGGTCTCATCACAGCATCGCAAAGTCATTGAGTCATATGGTTGGAAGGGATCATAGAATCATTGAATTGGAAGAGACCTCGTGGGCCATCCAGTCCAGTTCCATTTTGCCAAGAAGCAGGACAATCATATTCAAAGCACCCCTGGCGGATGTGTTAGTGCCCCAACCTTATTTTCCATCTTCATCACTATGATACTTCATCTTGTTGATGGGAAGCTCCCCATCGGAGTGGAAATAATCTATTGGACAGATGGGAAGCTATTCAACTTCAGCAGATTGAAAGTCAAAACCAAAGTTACAACAACATCTGTTATAGAACTCCAATATACTGATGACAACGTTGTCTGTGCGCATTCAGAAGATGACCTACAAGCCATTCTAAACACCTTCGCAAAAGCTTACGAGAAGCTTGGCCTGTCATTGAGCATCGAGAAAACCAAACTGCTCTTCAAGCAGTCACCAGCCAATCCCTCTCCAATGCCAGAGATACAGCTTAATGGTGTAACATTAGAAAATGTTGACCATTTCCGCTACCTTGGCAGCCACCTCTCCACCAAAGTCAACATTGACACCAAAATACAACACCGCCTGAGCTCTGCGAGTGTAGCATCTTTCCGAATGAAGCAGAGAGTGTTTGAGGACTGAGACATCCGTAGGGATATCAAGGTGCTTGTTTATATAGCTATTGTCCTCCCAACCCTGCTATATGCCTGTGAAATGTGGACTATCTACAGGCGTCACATGCAATTCCTGGAACGATTCCATCAGTGTTGCCTCCAAAAAATCCTGCAAAACTCTTGGGAAGACAGGTGGACAAATGTCAGCGTACTGGAAAAAGCAAAGACCACTAGCATTGAAGCGATGCTCCTCCGCCACCAACTCCGCTGGACCGGCCATGTTGTCCGAATGCTCGACTACCATTTCCCAAAGCAGTTGTTCTACTCCAAACTCAAGAACGGAAAACAGAAAGTTGGGGGCAGGAAAAGAGATTTCAAGATGGGCTCAAAGCCAACCTTAAAAACTGTGACATTGACACCGAGAACTGGGAAGCCCTGGCCCTTGAGCGCTCCAGTTGGAGATCAACCGTGACCAGCAGTGCTGTAGAATTTGAAGAGGCACGAATGGAGGGCGAAAGAGAGAAGCATGCCAAGAGGAAGGCACGTCAATCCAACCCTGATCAGGACCGTCTTCCACATGGAAAGTGATGCCCTCACTGTGGGAGAACATGCAGATCAAGAATAGGGCTCCACAGTCACCTACGGATCCACCGCCACTACACCGATCTTGGAGGACAATCTTACTCAGACAACGAAGGATCACCTAAGTAAGTAAAGACAGATGACCATCCAGTTTCTGCTTAAAAGCCTCCAAAGAAGGAGCCTCCACCACACTCCAGGGCAGAGAATTCCACAGCTGAACAGCTCTCTCTCACAGTCAGGAAGTTCTTCCTCCTGTTCAGGTGGAATCTCCTTTCCTGTAGTTTGAAGCCATTGTTCCATTGCGTCCTAGTCTCCAGGGCAGTAGAAAGATAGCCTGCTCCCCGCTCCCCATAACTCCCCAAGGGCCATCTAGGCCCACCCCGTTCTGTCATAAAGGAAGACACAATTAAAGTACAGCTGAAAGATGCACATCCAATGCTATGGAATCCTGGGAGATGTAGTTTGGTGAGGAACCAGCACTCTGTAGTGGAGAAGGCAAAAGACCTTGTCAAACTACAAATCCCTGGATTCCCTACCATTGAGCCATGGATGTTCAAGTGGTATCAAGCTGTATTCAATCTAAAATTCATGTAGGCACATAGAGGTGTCCAAAACAATTTTCTTACCATTTTGTTTCTTCTCGAACGGCAAACTCTGAATACCACTTATCCTCTGGAGAAGAGTCCCAAGGGAAGAAGGAGGCTGTTTATATCCCAGATGTTCCTAAATATTTATGCAAGTAAATGCAACAATGCGTCTTGGGGCTCTGAATGCAGTTGCTCAAGTTGGCAAAGACAAGGAATGTGATTTCTCTGCACTGGGAGGGCTTTTCTCCAGGAGAGGAAGGGTTAATGAATAACAGAGGCAAAGGTTGGTTTTGGGGGAAGAAATCTCGATTTTGTTTACTTCTTGAGGTCTGACAGAGGAGCACCTAGAATTAATGCAGTTTGACTCTATTGTGGTTATTATGGCTGAATGCTATGGAATGACAAGGCACGAGCAATCTTTGGCAAAGAAGGCCAAACACATCGTCAAACCCAAACTCTCAGGATTTGTGCTAGCTTTCTTCACATGTCTGTACCATTGATAGTCTTTTCTGTACTCACAATCTTTACACATTGCAATTATATTTCAATGTATTGTCAAAGGCTTTCATGGCTGGAATCACTGGGTTGTTGTAGGTTTTTTGGACTATATGGCCATGTTCTAGAGGCATATGGCCATGTTCTAGAATGCCTCTAGAACAGTGGTTCTCAACCTTCCTAATACCATGACTCCTTAATACAGTTCCTCATGATGTGGTGACCCTTCATAACTTCATAACTGTAATTCTGCTGCTGTTATGAATCGTACTGTAAATATCTGATATGCAGGATGTATTTTGATTAACTGGACCCAATTTGGCACAAATACCCGATACACCCAAATTTGAATACTGGTGGGGTTGGGGGGGGGGCTGATTTTGTCATCTGGGAGTTGTAGTTGCTGGGATTTATAGTTAGTCTGC